GGCTAGTTTTTTCTAGGGTCAGTCAGGAAACAGGAAACACAACATTTTTTTTTCAGCCTTACCTTTAGGGTGAGCACCAGCTGCACTGCGTTGGCCACAGCTGCAGGGTAGGGCAGGTGAAACAGGTGGCAGGTGCGGAAAAACGCCAGGTAGCCGAAGCACCACACAAACGTCAGCAAGTGGCATGTCCTGTGGGAACAACATCACATTGACAGCACAATTATCCAGTGGTAACCTTCTTCCATAGAACTATTACGCTTTGGAACACTTTACCTCCCAATGTTCGCACAGCTCCCACTATTACCAACTTCAAAACCAAATTTTAAAATCCGCACCTATTTGGAGATCCATATAGTGAATTCTGACCCTGACCAGTCCCAATGTAATTGGTATATTTGACAGTGCTCCTTAGGTCAAGTGAAGCCTTTGTGTATTTATAGAGCCCAAATAACTCTTATAATAAGCCCAAGTAAATTTCTATACTACCAGAAGACGTTGTGAATGCACCAACAGTGTCACACATTCAAGACAAGATTCGACAAACATATAGAGTACCACCCAGCCAAATACAACTTCAAGATACTTGACCATCCACAAAAAACCATGACAGTTGGCTAAACGAAAAGTCAAAAGAAGCTGTTGCAACTGGAAAGACGTCCTACCTGGCCGAAGCTTCTACTCTACTCTGTACTTGAAGTTTGAGGAGACATAATGTTTTTTTAATAAATTACCCAACTGAATTACTGATGGTAACGTTACTATCCAACTGTTTTAAGATCAATAAATAAATACATGTAAGTATAAAATAATCACCTTGGTCCAGCCGTCTTTAAGATGGTGAAAGTCCCGAGGACGGAGACCAGGGAGTGTAAGGTGTCCCATCGGCAGGTAAGGATCACCTGTCCGGCTCCAAGAGCGAACACGGCGGCCCTGCGCCAGGTGGGACCTCTCACCTGCCTCAGCACACAGCCCAGCGGGATGCTCAGCACCAACAGGCTCAGGTACAGCAACTCATCCGGGGACATCTTCTTCTTACATGGGGCTTAAGGAAGGACAAGACAAATCAGTGTTCAATCTACCCTGGATCCAGCCGGCCAGGGCGTGGGCGCTAAACACCCCGGCCGGCTGGATCGTGTTTCACGGGGAAAGTTGTTTGGCGAGCCGAGGAGAAATTGGCCACGACCCGCTGTCCTCTGGCTTCCAGGGTATGTTCCATCAGGACTTGAGCTTCTGCTGGCATTACTTAATAAATAATGAATGTAACGTTAGTATAGAACATATACTTGTAGATGTGTACAATTTAGTTCTTACCCAGTAGGTTTATTCAACATTCGGCCAGACATGGTACCTGTTGAACCTATAACCTTATGTAGAATTTCGATAGAACCATACCAGCTTATTGTCTGGCATACAATGTAACGTTACCTGTTAGTGTTACAATCGTTGTGCAAATATACTTTGACTTGACTATTGGCTATTACCATATTTAGAAAGAATAAAAAAGATATGTCACCCTTTTCATAAATACAACAACTCATTCAGCAAAATGGTGTTCTTACCTCAACCTTAAGAAAGGACAAGACAAATCAATGCTTAGCTTGAATATATGAAAATGAATGTTGATTATTTGTTGATACAGATCAGCTGATTTTCTTATTACACTTATCGAAAACGGGACAATCAACCACACGAGCCTGCGATGTACACACTTCTACACATATGTTGGACAGTGATGTACATAAACTAAAGCAAGAAATGTCGAAAATCACCTGTTCAACAGACGATAGTTTTGCACAGACCGGTCTCTGGTCTCACCTGATTTCTGCTCGCCCTTTAACCCCTAGTGGAAGATCTCACTAAAATTTAGGGGCGTTTACAATAGTTCAATAAAATTTATAATAATTCACTTAATGTGAATAAAATTTGGAACAAATCACCTGATAGAAACCCATACTATATTTTCCAATATTTTTGTAAGGTAAATCATACTTAAAAAGCAACCAACGTTATCTTTTAAAAAGAATCTACGATTATGGAACGGTCCACAAACAGAGAGAAAGCATCATGGCGGCAACACTTTAGAAAAAGATTACCGAGATTTTTTCTTCGACGTATTTCTCGTCCGGAAAGTTGTTGCCGCTGCTACTTCGAGGTGTTTTTGAGCAAAGATGGACAGGGGAAAGCTTGGTGGTCCGAGGAAGACCAAGCCGAAAGGTTTACGACGTTTTATTTTCGTGTGTTATGGTGTGACTTTTGGTGTGGAGGGGGGGTGGAAAATTTTTGTGTACACCGCGAGGTACCTCTCCTTTTTTCTTGTATCTGTATCTGTATCTGTATAGCCGGTATAACCGCCTTTCGGCGTAACACACCAGCTTCGCAGGCACGCGGCGCGGCGGCAGCTGGCTATATTACACCGATCGACTTGTTACACCTAACCCTTGAACTTCTAGCTCTAGACATTGTTTAAAGCTATCTATTGACAGTGCCCCTACTGTACTTGGTGACAGTGAGTTCCACTCTGCGATAGTTCTAGGAAAGAATGAATTCTTGAACACCTCAATCCTTGGTTGATAACTCTGGTACTTGAATGCGTGGCTATTTCTTGTTCTCTTCTGAGCTGGTATTAGGTACTTAGTAGTTGGGACATCCACCAGTTTATTAGTCATTTTGTACATCATGCATAGTCTAGACATCTTTCTTCTGTCTTCAAGTGAGGTCCACTGTAGGTTTCTTTTCATTTCCGTGACACTAGCACCTCTTACATAGTTGTTCATACAGAATCTTGCAGCTTGATTCTGTACCCTTTCCAATTTGTCTTTGTCTTTCTTTGTATATGGATCCCATACTGTCGCAGCGTATTCTAGGTTCGGTCTTACAAGTGACGTGTATGCAAGTGATTTTACTCTCGTTGGACATGCCCACAGATTACGTTTAATCACTCCCAATGTCTGTTTCGCCTTAGTTGTGATATTATTAACATGTGCACCCCACTTCAGTCCGCTTGTCAGCGTGACGCCCAGATACGGATGGATTTTTGTGGTTGCTAAAGCCTGACCACAAAACTGGTAGCTAGTTGCATGTGGTGTTCGTTTGTTTGTTATGTGCATAATGTAGCATTTTTCGGGATTAAACTGCATGAGCCATTTGCTTTGCCATTCTTCCAGGGTGTTCAGGTCTTTTTGGAGAAGTTGTGAGTCGGTCTGTGTAGAAAGCTCTACATACAATAGACAGTCATCGGCAAATAACCTCACATTTGAGTCAAGCTTGTATTCTCCTTCAGTCATGGAATTCCAGCATTGCTACAATATACACCGTATTATCTTACTGCTGCTAACAAAATTGTAAGAACAGAACACCCGTCATTTTCTAACAAATCTGTAAAGTGAAGAAGGTGTTTTTGTTTTTTTTGTTGCTGCTTGTGCAAGGCTGTATCTTTTCCTTAAAAACTAAAAACGATGGGGTACTTTTAAGGGAAAGACACAGAACTGTGACTGTGAACTGAACTAAGTCCAAACCAGCACCAAGAGACCACATCTAGCGAAATATAAGACACTAAACAAGGACAACAACAACAAGTAACCAAATTGATATGTGCTTGTGTTCTCACAGGCCCCCCTCCCACAGGAGAGCTGATAGCCCTGGGCAGCAAGCCGACCCCTGGGCTGGTCACCGACCCCAAACTGCCGTCACAGCAGCGCAAAGCTTCAGGTACGTATCCTAGCAGCCTCCTCTGGAACTGCAGCTATAGAATTTCAGCAATCTGTATCTTTTTTATGTTTAGTACCAAAGGAAAATATATTGTTTTTGTTCTGTTTCCACCTGTTCTTCTTCTCCAAACCAATAAGGTCAATGGCCGAACCAGACATATGATATACTGTATAGGATTAATAGGATACAGGAGTTTTCTTTTACATTATGAAAATTTCTCACCTAAGTGCTTATTAATACGTCTCAGTGTCTATCAGACACCTTCCTCAGGGCTTTTTCAGCCACGTTTTGGGATAGAAGTGAGAAACTCCAGTCAGAAGCTCTGAGGAAGGTGTGTGATAGACACTGAAACGTAAGCACTTAGGTGAGAAATCTTGGCTGTGTAAAAGAAAACTCCTGTATCATTTGCTTAACCAACAAACTATTTTTGAATGTGGCAAGTGTACATGTTTTGCCCCCACAGGGACTTCCTCCACCCTGATGCCATCTTCCTCCTCAGCGTTTGCAGCCAAGAAGCCAAAACTGGGTGTGCTCACTCCCCTGGGCAGGCCGGCTGAGGGGCCCAAAAAACCTCTGGTGCCAGCCAGGGAGTCATCTGTCGCTCCTATACTAGGTAGGGATATACACACATAAGCCCTCTTACACACAGACACACACACAAACAAGACGGGCCCAAGAAACCTCTGGTGTCAGCCAGGCAGTCGTCTGTCGCTCCTATCCTGGGTATTTGATTTGATTTATTACCTTCGCCAAGAAGGTTATGTTTTCAGAGGCGTTCGTGTGTCTGTGTGTGTGTGAGCACGATAACTCAAGAACGCCTGGATCGATTGTCTTGATATTTGGTAGGTGGGTAGGTCTTGATGAGACGTGGAACTGATTAGATTTTGGGCCCCCTAGCGGCTTGTTATGGTACTGCAGCTGAACTTCCGGTTTTGATATCTCGTGATCTAGACATGCTAAGCTGACGAAATTTGGATGGTAGGTAGCTCTTGTGCTGGGGAACAAGTGACGTGAGTTCGGGCCCCCTAGCAGCTTGCTCTGGAACTGCAGGGGCATTAGTTGAAAAATGTTTAAAGGCGGATAATTCAAGGACCGATTGATGGATCGTCGTGATTTTTGGCATGTAGGTAGCTGAAGTGATGCTTGACATAATGATATTACAATTATGCAAATATTAATGTAATTTGCATAATTAATGAGGAACTTCTATAAATCAGCTGCATTCCATGATAGGACTATTCAACCTTGTGACATATGTAATTAAGACCGGCAGAAATACAGGCAGATATCGATTATGCAAATGAAAACTTAATTTGCATAATTAATGAGAAAATGTTGTAATTACATATTGGTAATGTCTGGAATTTCATACATGGGATATTTGAAAGTTATGTGAAGGTGAACATAATTAAACATAACTTATTCAAATGACCTCATTTGCATAATTTATGAGGACATGCTATAATGGCATGCATTGATAAGATAAGACTGTCTTCTGGTGTAGAATATGATCAACAGATATAATTGATGCAATGTAGGATCCTATTTGCACAACCAGGGGGATTAATCTATAATTTCTTAGTCATAAAGGCTAACATCATTTGGCGAAGGTATGAGATCGTGGAATTCTAGTTGAAATTGCAACAGTGCAATACAAGAGGGACACAGGCAGCTGTTGCTGTTGCTGCATGTGTCCCACACATAGAAGAATAAATACAGGACAGACAATACTCATTTTCACCTGAGTTAAGTGGGGAAAGCCGTGTAAAGTGCCTTTCCCAAGGGCACAAGATCGGTGTCATCGATGTCAGGACTCGAACCTTGGACCTCTTGGTTCCGAGTCGACCACTCTGCAATGTTTTCAGAAAGTGTTTCCGAATTGCAGAACAAAATTTTGACATTGCAAAAACTGATAATTACATTTTGTTTGTAGCAGGATAGAGCTGGAAGGGCTGCTCACCACATATTACATTGTATGTGTTTAAGGAGCAATAAGCAGAGAAGCTGTTTGTTACTAGTAGGCTAGACCCTGAGATTGAAGACCATATGCTTTGCAAATGTAATACCTTTCTAGTTTATACAAAAATGTATTTTTATTTGTTGATATCCTTCAGTTCCTGCATCCGAGCTGATTGACGCCATTCTTGACGCGGAAGCAGAGAACAACGACGATCGTGTGGACAGTCTGATCGTGGGGGCCATCAACACCCTCAAGTCCAACAAAGCCAAGCCTGACCAGGGCGTGTTCCTGAGTCTCATGTTCCTCGCCAAGACTAAACCGCTCATCTTCCTCAGTGAAGGGGTCACAGAAGTGAGTACCATATTACTGTAAATCCCTTCATAAATTGACGGTACTTTTACCTTCATGGTTTTCAGGGATGTGGGAATTACTTTGGAATTAAACTAGAATTCCGGAATTAAACTGGAGGCTTTTTTTTCTTCCTCCTAGTCATTCTGCGCCTGTTGAAGTTAGAGAGATGTCTCCTTTAATTTTTATTTTGTAAATCCCCAAGAGGTCCTCCATGGCTGCATTTTTAAGATGACTGAACATGGAGTGTGCGTTGGTGTGTGTGTGGCATGGGGGGGGGGAAGGTATTTCTTACATCATTTTCAGTCTCTTTACACAGTGACTTACCAACCTGATGAAACTACTCACTGAACTGGAGGCTGTTTTTTTATCCCTTTCAGTCGTTCTGCAGTCTGTTGAAGAGAGAAGTGTTCTTTAACTTTTATTTTGTTAATCCTCAAAAGGTCCTCCATGGCTGCCCATCTAGCTGTAAGGATGCTGAGATATGGGAATGAGTCCAGAATTAAACTGGAGGTTGTTTTTTCTTCCTCGCAGTCGTTTTGCAGCCTGTTGAAGAGAGATGTTTCCTTTAACTTCAAGTCGAAGGGGAACCCACTAGTGGTGGTGCTGACGTGTAACATCCTCATGTCTGCCTACCAGGAGGAGGACAACTGGCCTGACAACTTCGTTAAGGTGAGGCGGACATACAGTGTACGACTTCAAAGTCCACTTCTCAGTTTCAGCTGTTTTTCTAACTTGAGACCATTTTTCTACATCAATTTCCCAAAAACAAGTATTTAGTTTTATTAGTTCAATAAACCAGTCTATATATGATTATCTACATTCAGTTGAAGAAATAATGGTTTTGTGGGCAACCTGACATTAAGTTGGGACCAGGCAGACAATGTTAGATGCTTCTGTTACTAAGTATAGTAACAAGTCGATTACTAAAAAACATTGCTAAACAATGTATTTTACCCAATTCTCAGAAAAGCAAGTGATCTTTTCAGTTCATTCTGAGCTTTTTCAAAACCTCTTTTATTGTGGTAGAAGATATTTCTCCTCACCTGAAGCGCCCTTCCGTTGTTCCCCCAGGTGTTTGTAGAAGACTCCCTGGGAGAGCGAGTCTGGGTGGACAACCCTGAGTGTAGGGAGTTTGTAGCCAACATCCAGACAGCCTTCAGCACGAGGCTGCCTCCCAAGTCTGGTCTCACTCCTGAACTGGGCAGCAGGCCTCCCTCATCCACTCCTGAACACTGTAAGCCTGGCTGCAGTTTTGCAACATCTTTGCTATAGATGCTTGTGTTACCTACAAATGTATATAGTAATAAGTCATGAGTTGATCATTAAAACACATCGTTAAACATGTATTATTTCCTATAATTCTAAGAAAAGCAAGACTTAGTGATCTTTTCAACTCATTCAGTGCTTTTCAAAATCAGTCTTAGAGTATTTGTTTCCAGTATTACTCCTTACTTAAAGCTCCCTTCCGTTGTTCCTCCAGTTTTCTTGGTTCTTGGATAAAAAAGGATAATGCTGAATAATGGGGAAATCAACATGATGATGATACAAGAAAATAGTGACTGTTACTCTAACAACTGACAGTTTATAAAATCTATCCAGTTTCTTGAGCAACTGTCTTCTTGTGAATCAAGACATGTTTTCTTGTGTTTGTGTATCAAGTGTTTTCATGGTTCAAACAATATAATCTATCCCACCAGGCCCCAGCCCCACCCAGTTTGGTGATGATGATGACAAAAGTTCGGACGTGTCGGAAGGCCTGACCACCAGCGAGCGGCTGACCCCAGACGACCAGACCATCACTCCAAGGTAAGGCCTAGGAAAAAATGTGGTGTTTCCTGTTTTAGTCTTTCTTTAGTTTAGACTTTGGCGATTTCTAGTTATCCAACTTACATGTAATACAGTTAAACAAAATTGAAAGCAAAAGACCAAACAGTTGTACTTTATTTATGACCTACTGTTCATAAGTTTGTATTATTTGGAATTTGATCTCTAACCATCATTCTCACATACCTCTGACTGATTATTATTATTGTATCTTGATTTATGATTTTTGAATTCCTTTGTAACGTTTAATTATTATTATTTATGTTACATTATTTTCTTGTATCATGTTTCCATGGGCTCCCTTGAAAATCAGCCTCAACGGTTGAAGGCGCCTTACAAACACGTTTGTTGTGTTTGTAAGATTAATAAATAAATAAACTTGTGTCCTCCCCCCCTCTCAAGGTACACATTTATGCAGGAGAGCATCGAGGGTTACATCCTGGACACGCTGAAAGACCAGCTGACTCGTCGCCAGGCCATGGACAACCTGTCGCGTAACCTGATACGCCTGATGACCGTGACCTGTGGGTACGCAGAGGTCAGACTCATGGCCGTGCAGCGCCTCGAGATGTGGCTACAGAACCCTAAGGTACTTGTACTTGGCTGTATCTGTATCTGTATAGCCGGTATAACCGCCCTTTGGTGTAACACACTAGCTTCTGTATCTGTATAGCCGGTATAACCGCCCTTTGGTGTAACACACTAGCTTCTGTATCTGTATAGCCGGTATAACCGCCCTTTGGTGTAACCCACCAGCTTCTGTATCTGTATAGCCGGTTTAACCGCCCTTTGGTGTAACACACCAGCTTCTGTATCTGTATAGCCGGTATAACCGCCCTTTGGTGTAACACACCAGCTTCTGTATCTGTATAGCCGGTATAACCGCCCTTCGGCGTAACACACTAGCTTCTGTATCTGTATAGCCGGTATAACCGCCCTTCGGCGTAACACATCAGCTTCTGTGTCCGTATAGCTGGTATAACTGCCCTTCGGCGTAACACACCAGCTTCTGTATCTGTATAGCCAGTATAACCACCCTTCGCCGTAACACACCAGCTTCTGTATTCTGTATAGCTGGTATGATAATCCATCCTGTCCCCCCAGCTGACCAGACCTGCCCAGGAGCTGTTGATGTCTGTGTGTCTGAACTGTGTGACACAGGACCCACAGGATGTGGAGGTGGTCTCCGCACTTATCCGAGTCCGGCTAAAGACCAAACCGCTCATCAACCACTATAACTCATGCATGAGGTGAGGTTTTCTCTCTTTTATTTTTCATTTTTATGATATTAAAAGGGAAGCATATCTATAACATGTCAATTTCTGTTGTTTAAGGCTTTAAAATATAAAAAAAAAGTGTGCTTTCAATGTGTGCTTTTAATTGATTATTTATCAAGTACAACTACATGTACAAGGCCTAAAGTTTAGATTTTCAAACCTGTCCTTGGTGGTAAACAGACCATCCATGTAACACAGATCTCTGGTTTTACATGTATGCTGTTTCCTGTTTCAAGCTAAATCAAATTTGTCCTTCCCTCTCTAAAGAGTTACAGAAAATCTGTCCTTGGTGCTGAAACACTATCTAAATAACACAGATATTTGTATTGTACATTTTATTTTGTAGAATGTACACATGTACATACATGTTCTTACTTGTTTCAAGCTAAAACAAATCTTTCTTACTTCTCCAGAGAGTTACTGAATGCCCACCCAGAGAACTTTTCCTTGGTACTGAAATGCCATCTACCATACATTTTAGTTCTTGGAAAATACAAGTTTTTGAACATGTCAATTCTTGGTTGATAACTCTGATATTTGAAGGCATGGCTGTTTTTTGTGCTTTTTTGGGCTGAAACACCATCTACATAACACAGATCTCTGGTTTTAATAAGAAACAAATCTTTCTTCCCCCTCTAGAGAGTTACTGAATGCCCACCCAGAAAACCTGTCCTTGGTGTTGAAACACCATCTACATAACACAGACCTCTATTATTGTACATCGTAGCATGTTCTTTTTGTTTTGATACGAAACAAATCTGAAATGACATCTACCTAACACAGACGTCTGTGGATTTTGCTATTTTTTGTTTTAAGAAGAAACAAAATAATCTTTCTTCCCTCTAGAGAGTTACTGAATGCCCACCCACAGAACTTGTCCTTGGTGCTGAAATGACATCTACCTAACACAGCAAATCTGTTCTTCCCTCTAAAGAGTTACTGAATACTCATCCAGAAAACCTGTCCTTGGTGCTGAAACCCACCATCTACATTGCACAGACCTCTGTGGTTTTCTAGATACATTGTACATGTATAGACTTGAAGTCTTTGCTTTTTTTAAATCTAAATTGTTCTTCCCTCTCCAGAGAGTTACTGAACGCCCACCCAGAGAACCTGTCCCTGGTGCTGAAGCACACCATCTACATAACACAGATCTCTCTGGTTCTACATACATGTATAGACTCAAAGTCTTTGCTTTTTTTAATCTAAAACAAATCTTTCTTCCATCTAGAGAGTTACTGAACGCCCACCCAGAGAACCTGTCCCTGGTGCTGAAGCACACCATCTACAACGAGCTGTCCAACTCCAGAAACCCCAACAACATGTCACTCCTGGCCGTCCTGTTCCAACACAGTCCAGAGGAAGCTGCTAAGGTGAGATTTGGGCCTAGGAAAATAACTGTATAGGATACAGGTCACGTGTTTGTAAACCATAACTCTCGCGAGATCACGCTGTGAAGTGATTGGTCATTAATTATCCTGATGAAGACGACAGACCTCTCTGGTTGTACTTTCCCTGTTTGAAGCAAAACAAATTTGTCTTTTCTTCTTGAGAGTTACTGAATGCTCACCCAGAAAACCTATCTCTGGTACTAAAACACCATCGATATCTACGTGCTAGCACAGATCTTTGTGATTGTACTTTGCCTGTTTCAAGCTAAAACAAATAATTTTTTTCTGTTCTTCCCTCTAGAGAGGAAGCTGCTAAGGTGGGTATGGGCATAGTTCTCACTAGGCTGTTTGAGCGTAGGGACCCCCTATGCTGTGATTTGGGCCCCCTATGCTGTGATTTGGGCCCCCTATGCTGTGATTTTGTCTTTCAACCAGCATAGGGGTGTTTTTTGAGGGGGAGAACCTTCTGACCCTTCATAAATCTTTAAAAAAAGCAAATTTGACTTCAGAATTGACTCCACCATGTATATTTCCTAATGAAGGAAACTTTTTTTTTGTCAAACTTTTTTTTTTTATTTGTATGCTCGCATCAGTTTTGGAATTCCCAGAGGATGTCATCTATATAATCAAATCACCATGGCCTAAAGGGGGACACAAACTGTGTTCTTAACAGACAACATGTTTTCTTGATCTTCCCCTCCCCAGTACCTAGCAGTGGTGTTCCAGGAGCTGCTGACTAACCGTGAAGACTACCTGCGTGCCGTGCGCGCTCTGCTGCGGGAGATCATACGCGCGCTGCGGGGCGACCTCAACTTCGCAGCCTTCTGCCGCAGCCTCATGCAGGAGCGCTCCGAACCGCAGTTCACGGACATGGAAGGTCATCTCAAGGTCAGATGTGGTTACTCTCAGTTTATGTTTATGAGTAAAAGGTGTGATTTAAGCAATCCGTGCGCTGAGGGGAGACCTCAACTTTGCAGCCTTCTGCCGCAGTCTCATGCAGGAACGCTCCGAGCCGCAGTTCACGGACATGGAAGGTCATCTCAAGGTCAGATGTGGTTACTCTCATTTTATGTTTATGAGTAGAAGGTGTGATTTAAGCAATCTGCGCGCTGAGGGGAGACCTGAACTTCGCAGCCTTCTGCCGCAGCCTCATGCAGGAACGCTCCGAGCCGCAGTTCACGGACATGGAAGGTCATCTCAAGGTCAGATGTGGTTACTCTCATTTTATGTTTATGAGTAGAAGGTGTGATTTAAGCAATCCACGCGCTGAGGGGCGACCTGAACTTCGCAGCCTTCTGCCGCAGCCTCATGCAGGAGCGCTCCGAACCGCAGTTCATGGACATGGAAGGTCATCTCAAGGTCAGATGTGGTAGCATATATTTCAGAAAGAAATATTAGAAAAAGAAGTTAGAAGAATAATATATATTGTGTTCATCATCATCTTCAATACTGCTGATCCCTCAATGAAGAGGATTATTAGCAGCTATGATCCGAACCGCAGTTCATGGAAATGGAAGGTCATCTCAAGGTCAGATGTGGTGGCAAATATCTCAGTGTGTTGAATAAATCCTTGATACCACAGTCTCAAGGTTATCTTGAAGAGGTGATAGTCACAGTGTTAAGTCAATCCTTCCACAAATGTGGTAAATCTTAACCCTTGTCCTGCTGGCATTTTTTACACAATATTTTCAAATGGTTTGATGTCTTAAGCGTGTCATAGATCCCTGACTTTTTTTGCCCTGCGGTAGCGTAGTTACTTCTGCATTGGCGTTTTGCTCTGGTGTGATGCGTTGCACCAGAAATACCCCCAAATCGCACATATAAGGGTGCTATATAAATGGTACCGTATGTGCAACCCATATATATATATATGGGATGAATAAAATAAAATACTGTCTTGTCTGTTGCTAGGAGCGCCTGCTGCTTCAGCTGACCGACCTGATCTGCCTCGGCTGTCTGCTGAGCGTGACAGCAACTGTCAAGGAGGCTGCCTCTGCTGTCTCAAGGGGAGACAAGAAAGGTAACAGCACTTTGTGAACCTACAGCATTTTTTTATATCCAAAGACAAGACTTAGTGCAATCTGTAAACTAGAAAGGTAACATTTGCAAAATGTTAACCTTCGCATATGGTCTGTTCTGTTGATTCTTACTCAAACACATTCATATATATGGTCAGACAGGAGTCTAAATCCCTCCTGCTATAAAATTGCAACATGATGTAATCCAACACTGGTTACCCAACCCTCCAGACTGCGACCGTTTTTTAATTACGAAATGCGACTAAATCTTTTACTCTGGTCGCGCACTGCGCGACCGGCAGAGAATCCGCGGTGCGCCTAAATTATTGGCTATAGCGCTGTTAGAGGCAAAAATTTCTTATTTTTTCCCGTAAGAATGTCATATTAATGCCAGGCAAAATCATGTTCATTTGTCAGAAAACCCATTACAAGTCCGTAGATACCATTATCTCGGCAAATAAAGCGGCAAACAGCTTTCTTTCGACGAAAAAACAGACCCGACACAACCGGGGCGCCATCTTGTTTTCATCTGGCGTGACCTCTCGGCAGCCCGACTCTCGCGAGACTTGATATCCTTATACCATTAGAGGGGTCAGGTGACGAGATCTCGCCTTCAAGCTTGTGCAGCCGGCGACCTAGCGCGACCGGGAGTCATACACGGTGTTTCCAGAATTGTTTAGGGGATTCTAAACTGCCATCTGGCCTAAATTTGGGGGGAAATCAAGAAGATAAATATCTTTATCAGCCACAACTTGTGATATTTGACTGTTGGCAAAGTTTGTGTTTGAAAAGAGATCCTCCCTCATGGCCCAGGAGCGTCCAGGACAGGGAAGTTTGGCAATGCGTGACTGATAGGATTTTCTACTAGAACTCCTCTAAGTCTAAGGAAAACTTGGGCAGATGTCTGTTGTGCAGACTTTTCAAACTAAGTTGTAGATTGTTTTGATACAGTTGAAGAAATAATTAATATTAATAGCTAAAGTTTCAACTGAAGGTATTAATTTTAGACATTTGTGTAGCATATATTATTAAATGATTATAATTTATAAATTATAGGCAATTCCAAATGAAGCCTATTTTTTTATTCTTCCCTTTATGTTTCTACTCTGTTCTTTTTCCATGACCTTTTTTTATTGTATTTAATTTTTAAGAATTATTTTTCAGTCAATGAAACTACTTCAGACATGTAGTGTTACCTGTAAAGTTGTAAGAAATAAAGAAAATTGTCTTCATTGTTGTGGAAAATCTGTACCTTTAACGATAACAAAATGGTTTGAGTAGCAATGTTAATAATTATTAACCGTTACATCATAAATAACTCTTGCTTAAAACATTTAAGTGTTTTTTTTTTCCAAAAAATAAAACTATTTCATTGTTGCAATGATAAATGCATAGATATATGTCATTTATATTTTGGGCAAGTGAAAAGTTGGTTCGGGCAAGTGAAAATGACCATGCACTTGCCCAATAGGGTTGGATTTTAGAAAACTTGTCCAACCCTGCAGAGGCCTATAGGAGACCGACATATCAGTCAGCCTGGCCTAACGACTGAGATGAAGTGACTTTGAACACATTAAAGACAGTTACTTGTAAAATCATTGTTTGGTCTTTCATTTATCACAATATATAATTTTCTTTAAGTACAAATGGTGAATTTTGATGTTGTTTCTATGATAATGAAAGAATGATTAATTGTCTGTTTAGGTACATTATTCTCTTGGCTTGTAAATTAAAAAGTACTTTGCGCGACCAGATTTTTTGTTTGCGCGCCCAAATGTTTGCCTGCGCGCCTAACTTTTTGAGGCTAGGAGCGCATGCGCTCCTAAGCTAAAAATTTAGTCTGGAGGGTTGTTACCATGGTGACAGACTTCTGGTTCAGGTCATTGACCTTATTTGCTTGGAGAAGAATAAGAAGAAAAGGAAACAGAGCAAAAACAATTACATGTACATATTATGTTTTCCTTCGGTTAAACATAAAAACCTGTATAAGAAGTTCAACCTACAATGTATGTCCATGATTTTGTCTTTATTTCTCAATTTTTTTTTTTAAATTTCTCTGTTGTGTTTGTGTGTTTATCAGATGTGGAGACCCTGCGAAGGTTCCAGCTACAGTCATCAGTTATCCAGCGGGACTCTGTCTGGTGGCTCCACACCATCGCTCCTGGCATGTTTAAACTCAACTCTACTGACTACGTGCAATGGTATGACAGTCTGGAATGAACTACTCCTTTATGTATTTGTTTCTTTAGCCTTCCATCCATCCTGCTGTCCATGTATGGATCCCTGTATACCTTAGTTCATCCTTCCATCCATCCATTCCTCTGTACCAGGTCTTACAATCTGATACAGTCATCCATCCAACCATCTCTCTGTTCATTCATCCATAATGATTCATCTATGCATTCCTCTATCTCTTAATTCATCCATCCATCCCTCTGTACATTCATTCTTTCATCCATCCATCCATCCATCCATCCAACCATCTCTCCATACATCCATCCATCCATATATCCATCCATCCACCCATCCATCCATCCACCCATCCATCCATCCATCCATCCATCCAGCCATCCTTCCATTTATCCTGGTATACATTCATACATGCATCCCTTTATCCCTTGATTCATCCCTCCCTCCATCCATCCCTCTGAACATTCATTCATCCATCTTGCTAACCATTCATCCCTCCCTCCATCCATCCATCTCTCTGTCCATCCATCCATTCAACTGTTGATCCTATTCACAAACCTTATCAGAGGAGTAAAGAACATCTATAGATTGAATGTTTAATATGTCTTTGTCTCCATTGTTTGTAGTTGCCTTAATAAACTAAAATGTAAAAGAACCTTCAAGAAAAATTGACATGTTCTTTTCTGTTGTTCAGTATGCAGAAGGTACTGTTTATGGAGTCAGAGACCCTGTCCTTGGTGCTGAAACACTTCATCTACGTAACACAGCTCTCTGTGAATGTACATGTAGCTTGCACATCATAGCTATTGTGAAAACATTGACAAGTCATGTTGTTTTCTGTTGTCCAGTATCCAGAAAGTGCTGTTTATGGAGTCAGCCGAGTCCTACTACAGTAAGGACAACTGGCCACCGGAAGGGGAGAGAGCGTGAGTATAACTGGTCTACATTGTGTATAATTTTTGAATCACAATAATTATAGTACAATACAGTACTGGCATTATTATTAGGTCTATAGCTGTAAACAATGTTAGAGTTAGATGTCCAAAGGTTAGGTGTAACAAGTCATTCAATATCTTCAGAAATAGATTTAAGAATAGCTGAAGTTTCAAGCTGATTGTGCATCCAAATCTTTGACTTCAAAACAAACAAACACAACGGAACAAGTGTTCAACTCGGAACCAAGAGGTCCTGGGGTCGAACCCTGTCATACCACCGATCTTGTGCTGTTGGGAAAGAAGGCACTTAATACGATTTTCCTCACTTCCTTCAGGTGAAAATGAGTACTGTATTGTCCCCTGTGTTGGTGGCAGCATGAGTGTGCCGTCACCACGTCTTGTGATTACATGTTGGAATAAAATAAACAAAACTACTGTTGTATACACTCAGATATCTGCTGCGGCTAGTTTCGGAGGTTCCTGTACAGGAAGACACCCTGATGAGACTGCTGGTGATCGGACTGTCCCGAGACTTACCCCTTAGCGCTGTGGAAGCTTTGGACCTTGCAGATCAGGTGGTGAGGAGGGCAGCATCACTCCAGTCTCCAGGTAAGGGACAATGTCAGCCTAAAAAATTGGGTGCACAAAAAATTTTGGGGGCACACCATATAAAATCGAATAACTAGAATGTCAGCAATAACTAATTATGTTTCATTTCTAAAGTACAGTGCTACAACAATAATTTTATTATTTTTTTGACACTTGGATGTTAAGAATATGTTGTACACTACAGTATACATTTAACATCTTTACATAGTATTACGTAAACCTACAAAAATATTTGGGTGCACAGCTCCAATTTTAGGTGCACTAAGATGCACCCAGTATTTCGAGCCCTGGACAGTGTTGCAGGTAACCATACAGACCAATGGTATTGTACACCCAAATATATCTCAAGTCCAGCAAATGTGTCAGTGTTACACAGTGTTTTGTTCAGACCTGACTTTGGTTGTTCTCTGCTGCAGACTTTGATGTCCTGCCTGTTGAGAGACTGCAGCTCCTGGATGCGGTGTTAAACCTGTGTGCATATCACCATCCGGAGAACATACAACTGCCCCAGGGGTTAGTACTGGGTTTTTAATACTTAAAAAACAGCATTAACTAACGTCTTATAGTGTTCTAGCCAGGGTAATCTTTTCTGTCACCTCAATTTTGTTTGATGTAATGTGTCAAGTACAAATTCTTACCCCTCTGAAACACTGTTTCCTGCATTTTGAGGGGAAAGTTTTGCTGGAAGACAGTCTTAGATTAGACATATCTTTAAATTTCTTTACATGCCCCCTTTTTTTTGTCAAAGATAATATGATGGGCAAAATTTTTGTCCTTCATGAGCAAAAATCTATTTAATGGCAAAAAAACAGACACTGGCTAGAACACTGGTCTTACCTGTAGTATATTCTGCATATATATAGTTTTAGACTCTAACAGTTTCAGTAAGAGCCAGTACAAGTACTTAGGGCCTTTGTAATGAAAGCAGTGTGTGTCCTTACTTTACCTTGTGTTGTGTTCCAGATACGAACCCCCCACCCTCGCTATCTCCAACCTGTACTGGAAGGGCTGGATGTTACTTCTGACTGTGTCCGCTTTCAACCCTGCAAATATAGGTATGGACTGTCTTCATCAGCCAATATATGAACAGTTTATCTGTAGTAAAACAACAAGAATCATCTGAATAACATAGCATAAGTAACAGAGCATTGTGAGGCGTACGTGACTTGTCAAGTAACCGAAAGTACATGTATGCAAAAACAAATACAGCATTGTGTTACATGAAAACAGAAATATAGTTACTTTAAGAGCTTATTTAGTTGTATGAAAAAGCTTTTCTTTGTTCAGGTCACGCTGCCTGGGAGCACTACCCTCAGCTCAAGTGCTTTATGGAGATGGTCATGACAAAGTAAGTTGAGAAAAAAATACACTACTAGACTAAGTTACATGCAGTTACATGACATTGTACAATAATTGTTAAATTGCATGTCAGATTTTGTTGATTTTGATCCTCAAAACTGCAATAACTTTTATGGCCATATCTGATGTAGAGTTCAACATTTTCTCCTAAAAAACTGTTACAGTATCATTCTGATGTTTATCCATTATGCATAACAAAAACAGTGAAAGTCAGTACATGTACATTTGTATGTTCCAATGATCTCCTGTTGTTTCTGCAGTGACTATGACTGGCCACCGGGAACTCTGGCTACTGAGGAGAAGAAGGCAGAACTTATCAACAAGGAGCTGCAGGTACATGTAGACTCTTTAGATCATTCATTTCACTCACATACTTGCTCACTCACTCACTCACTCACTCACTCACTCACTCACTCACTCACTCACTCACTCACTCACTCACTCACTCACTCACTCACTCACTCACACACATTAACTCACTCACTCACACACTCACTCACACTCCCGTTTTTGTTCAAAACGGGAACAACAAACTGCTCCGGATGTCTTACTGAGGGACGACTGTGGTGTGAAAGATGTCGGTTATTGGAATGAATCCACTCAAGTAACTGCTTTTAATCAACCCATGATATATTTTGTAGATCTGTGAGCTGGAGAAGCAGGAGATTCTGGAGTTTGAGAGTCACCTGGCAGCAGCTTCCACTAAAGTCTCCATCACCGAGGCCAACAGTCTCCTCATCTCACAACTCATCTCCATGGACCCCAGGTAATGTTTGTGGCGTCTGTGTGGTGTAGTGGATACAGTATCCGACTGTCAAGCAAGCAGACCCAGGTTCAATCTCCAGGGTTGGACCCAGACATGTCCGGAAATGCACCCAGACGTTGTGCCCTTGGGAAAGGCACTTTACACGTATTTACCCACTCAGTTAGAGGGATCCTGGGCCCTACTAGGGTTTGGGTTGGCGTTAGGAAGGACATCCAGTGGTAAAAATCTTGCTTCAATCTGTCATGACTTGGTATACGTTTGACTACGATCGCAGTCTATTGTATCTCCTTTTAATGACTGTTTTTAGTAATTGCTTTTAATATCTGTGCCAACCATTTTTAATAACCTGTGTAATGCGGCAGATCAATTCAGGGTCCTACGGGGACCCTGCTACTCTGTACCGTACAGTCTGAAAGAAATAAACCAGTGTTACTATACGCAGCACATGAACTTTCTTGATATGTATTGTTTACCGAAAGAAAACATATTGTTTTTGCTCCGTTTCTTCCTCTTCTTCTTCTCCAAACAGTGACCTATGACCTCACCAATGACATGATTTGTTGATGTCTGTCAACATAGTGACTGGTGTTGGGTTACAAAATGTTCCAATTTCATGGTCTGCTCTGCTCCTGTCACCATATACTAGTAGTACTAGTAGTTCAGAGCAGACCATGTCCAAAGGTAAACATTATGCATTTGCTTTGCAAATGTTACTTCTCTAGTTTAAAATCTATTAATTTTTCTATGCTGTGCCCTGCAGTGGTGTTGCCCGCAGACCACCTCCCTCCATCCTGCAGCAGCTGAGGAGTCTGAACAAGTCCCTGAAGCTGGGGCATTTACTCTGTCGGTGCCGCAATCCTGACTTCCTACTGGATATCATACAGAGACAGGTATGGAGGGAGAGAGAGAGGAAGGAATTAAGGGAAAAGGAAGGAGGTATAAAGGGATAGATGGATGGATAGAGGGATAGATAGATGGATAGAGGGATGGATGGATAGAGGGATAGATGGAAGTAAGCTATAGATGAAAGAACAGACAGAGCTTATAAGACAAGTCCTAGTTTGCAAGTTATAAACCTGCCTTTCTGACAACTCTCCAGTGTCACTGATAAAAGGTAGTGGATGCTACCTGAAACGTCTGACCGTTTCCAAAATCATATCCAGTTGCTTGAGTAACATTTTTTTTGCATATCTTATTACCTGGATGTCTAACCTTCATCGACGTATTACTATGTCTCACAGGGTACGTCCCAGTCTATGCCGTGGCTTGCGGAGCTGGTGGAGAGTTCGGAGGGGTCGATGGAGGTCCTGCCGGTCCAGTGTCTGTGTGAGTTCCTCCTCCATGACATCGGGGAGGAGGCTGCGGAGCAAGAGGATGAGGAACTACAGGAGATGGAGAGGACCAGGGCAGAGGGGGACAGGCTCAAACAGGTGAGAAATGAAGCTCAAACAGGTGAGAATTGGTCCAGTGCCTGTGTGAGTTCCTCCTCCATGACATCGGTGAGGAGGCTGCGGAGCAGGAGGATGAAGAGCTGCAGGAGATGGAGAGGAGCAGGGCAGAGGGGGACAGGCTCAAGCAGGTCAGGAGGGGAGATCATGTATCATAGATGGTGGAAAAGAAAGAAATGAAATGAAACAAAAGGTAACATTTGCAAAGCAAATGCATAATGTTTACCTTTGCATATGGTCTGCACTCAGTTAATTCTTACGCAAACACATTCATATATGTATATATTGACAGAAATTTAAATCCCTCCTGAAATAAAATTGCAACATGATGTATCCCAACACTAGTAACCATGGTGAAAGATGACTAGTTCAGGTCATTGACCTTATTCGTTTGGAGAAGAGGAAGAAGAAGAGGAAACAGAGCAAAAGCAATAATCATGTTTTTCTTCTGTGAAGTTGTCTTAGTTGATTTGAATGTCATAGTTTCACTTACGCATTATATGAAAAAAAAGGCTGATGATCAAACTTTTCCCCTTGTTTTGTGAGTGTATTGTTTGTTGTTTCGCAGAAGTCCCGTAAGCAGGACCAGCTTCGTCGCAGACTACAGACGCTTCTGTACGGCCCCGACTCACAGCCCAACGAGACACACGAGGTTCTGCAGTACTTTCTACGGAGGCTGGGATCGCAGCAGAGGGCTGCCAGGAACCTGGCTGCTAGGGTGAGGGAAAGTTCTTGTGTATGTAGTAACACTGGTCGCATCAATTTTGGAAAGTCACAAGGCATTTGGAAACTCAAGTAAAAATTGATTTTCAACATTCAAGTTTCACATCAGTGTGTAGCTCTTGGTGTAATGAGCACAGTGATATGAAAATTATTGTTCTGCAGTGTTCATAACTTAAGATATCATTAATAATAAATACAAGCAGACCGGTGGTCTTTCCTAACAGCCCGTCAGGCCTAACAACTAGCCCGCAAGTTTTTAATTACAGGACCTTCGGTCTAAAGGCACTAGACTACAGGTGTAGAATCCCAGCCCGCGGGCTGATTTACTCAAAAACCATTCAGACCGTCAGCCTAACTTCAGCCCGCGGTCTGGAATTTCTGGTCAAAGAGGTGCAAAAAGCCCAAAACAATGGCATGGAAGGCGTGAATTGATTGATGTTTGCAGACTGTCTGTGCCAATTTCAGCCTGGTGGGGTAAGGATTCAGACCTCACGGACTACATCTCAGCCCGCGGTCTGATCCAAGTGATGTGTAAAACTTCATTCTCAGAGCAGAAAATAAGGAAGGAGAGCATAAATTATCCACACCCATCTGTTAACAGTGTTGTACATTTTTGCCGCTTTCAACCTCATTCACTCACTCAATCACTCAGCTTCGCATGCTCTTTCCACTACATGTAGACCACGAAAAAGAAAGAATAGCTTACAAACACGTTCTGTACCAGCTAGGGGTAGAAAATGAAACAATTTTTTCTCATGAGCATCCTGAATGTCATTGAAGTTCAGTTCAGTTCAGTTGAAACATTGGGAAAATTATGTTACAGACAGTTTTGCCAGACAAAATTCTAGTACTATATAATATGAGCAAGAAGCCTAATACATGCATTGCAACTTAAACCTGCTTTCAAGCAATGGAGTTATAAAATCCTCAGTCCATTTCTGTTCTACCATGGTTCAACAGTTCTCAGGTAATTATTCTGATCAAGGAACAATTGTTATGCGGGATGAAACTAAGTTTAGCTATTGTTCTTGACATGCAAATGCCACTGTCCAATTATCAAGTTGGACTATTGTTGAGTTACACGTCGAATTACAGTACCCCTATCTGGGCAGCTTGACTACTGGGTCACCCAGTAGGAGCCTGAAAAGATGACCGACTATCTTAAAAAATAAAACTAGGATTCTCATCATTAATTTCTTGTTCATAATCTAAATCTAATCTAATCTAATCATAATACTACAAACTAGTCGAGGGATAGAAAGATTTGGCCAAGACATGGTTCTCAACGTGTGAACCCAGGCCATCTGACACTGTCATTATATACAATGTCATAAGGTTTTCTGATTGGATATTTTTTCGGGCTATTGAGCTACCCAGTGCAAGCTGCAAAGACCATGTCACCCATGTCTGGGTACTAGTAGCCCGACCAGACTCTCTAATTTGATAATTGGACAGGTATGAATGATAACATGCATGGAAATTCATTTTGAAAATTTTCTTCCTGCAGGAAATTTCTGCAGGAAAAACCTACTAAGACATTGTAGATTCCTGCAGATAGAATCCTTCCTAGAAATTTCGGCAGGAATGACTGTATAATAAATATATACAACTGTTAGGCCACACCAATATACATGTAATGTAGTCTCCACCAGACTCCTTTGCAGGCTAAATAAATAGTAGCAATCGGCTAAGGCATGGAGGTAGCTCCATGGCTAAGGGGAACATCATTGGCCAGAGGAGTTGGCCGGCCATAGAGACTAAATATAATGTCATTACTTGTTTCTCAGACTCACTTGAAGAAGAATCCTGTTCTATAAAATTACAACATTACATCAATATTCTCTCAAGGTCACCTTAGTAATTGATCAACGATCATCTGATTTTTTGTATGTCATGACAATTCATGCAGTCTGATAACTCAATGAATGCTTTTGCGTCGGAAGCAAAAGCATCCCCTTTCTTCAGTTGTAAACACGTCTAACATTGATCAGATTCTGACTGGAGACTAACTTCAAGTTGTTGCTTGGAAGTTAGAACTTGTTAATTTTATCATAATCACCTCCCTCCCCTTTTGTCACCCATTTTAAAGAAACTGTGTTCTTTGTGTCTAAGGGATAACAAGACTTTACAATGTAATTCATAGGCTTATTGAGGGATGTCTATTATCACTCTATGGTGACATTTCCTTGGGCAAATGTTGGCCCTCCAGGAGCCAAGGAGCTAGCCTGGCAGCAGTCTGGTACCCATGTAACAGTGGGGGGGTTATAGGCGCTACAGCTCGCCCCTGTTTCTTACACCCAGGCTACCTGGTCTGCTATCATACATGTACATCCTGCGCTGTACAAGCATTTTACGTTCTGTTCCTAAATTTTTGGGAAATATCCAAACTGAATGAACAGCTCTTTTCATTATATATATAACCTATTTGAGATGTTTCACAAATATTGTAACAATTAGAAAATTTTCTTACTTTTTTTAAATCATACTTTGAAATTATCTAGAAACGTGTTTTTTTTCGAAATGGTTACAATTTGTAATGTGGAATATAGCAATATAGAATTGACTCTAGGCCTTGGGCAAGCACTTCCAATTAAATTGTAATTTAGACTTATTACAAATCCTGTAAAGATTCTCATCATTAATTTTTGTTCATAATCTAAATCAAATCTAATCATGACACTACAAACTAGTTGTGGGATAGAAAGATTTGGCCAAGACATGGTTCTCACCGTGTGAACCCAGGCCATCTGACACTGTCATTACAATGTCATGAGATTTTCTGATAGGATATTTTTTCGGGCTATTGAGCCAGTGCCAGTGCACCCATGTCAGGGTACTAGTAGCCCGACCAGACTCTCTAATTTGATAATTGGACAGTGGTCATTTGCATGCCTGGAACAATAGGTGACCTGAGGTATGACCCGCATGACAAAGGTGCAGGAACAGAATAATTACAAAAGAAAATGTAACATGAATTTCCTAAAGCATTGTACAACTCCTTGCACTGAAAGCAAGTTCATGTTGCAAATTGAGGATCGATTCCTTGCTATTGCTTTTTATGTTTTCAGTGTACATCGGCTGAGGCTTATACATGGCAGGATTATGGCACTAAAACTCCAAATGTTTTCCTTTTGATTTAAATGTTTCCATGGAGTTATTGTTTATCTGTTAACCATGTCCATTCATCTTGTTTTGTTGTGACCTGTACTTAGCCATCTTGTTTGTTGTGACCTGTACTTAGCCAAGTCTTCATTCTTTAAAAAAAGATAAATTTCTACCCCATGATGTTTCAAAGGGATTTGGCCAGGGGAGTTGCCCATCCATAGTAGGACAGATTGGACTATACCTGCCAAACAGAAACTGTAAGTGACCATGAAGTGTCCTCAAAAGTTAGCTTCCAACACCACAACCAATCAGGTCTAATATGAAGTGTTCTTGCTGAGACAAGGGTCTTTTATTGATGCTATCTGATCTTTTTTAGTCATAACCGTTACACAAATGTTACACCCCGCCCAGGTATCAGCCCAGGTAGCACAGCAGGAGCAAAATCCACCTCCTCAAACATGTTCAAAAAGCTTTCTACTAGAAAGAGACTTTTTGCAGTCTTAATAGCAGAACAATTCTTCCCATGTACAGGAAAAATTCTTCCAGTAGAAATTTCTGAAGCTTTTGCAGAAAATGTTCAAAATGAATATTCATGAAAGTTATCATCATTCATACCTGTACATCATACTTGTCAATATATATTATATGTAATCACTTATTGAAAATATTAGCTGAAAATGTGAAGGGTGTTTATTAATATGAAGTGATATGAAGTGAAGTGTAAACCATCATCAATCTGGAAGCATCAATTTGGAAGCATATTTTTGTTTCCCACTTTCTGTTTGGTGTTTAAAGTCTGAAGGTTCTCTATCATAAGGCCTAATCATCAGCCCAGCCTGTCCACAGACCGACAGGCCTGTTCAGGCCCGCGGGCTAACCATTGAGCCCAGACCTCTCATGAATTTATCACAAACTTGTTAATTACACAGGTGCGAAAATGTGAATTCTCATTAATTCAGTGGTTTTCATGGGGTGTTCATGAGGCGGTCTGGATGCGGGCTGGCTAACTCAGGCCGCGGGCTAAAGTTTAGGACTGCCAGCCTAAGCTGCTGGGCATGACGGTGTGTGTTCTAGACCGCCAGGCTTGCAATTTTTAAAGTCAAATATCTTGATAAATTTGTACATTCTGACCATAAAAAAAGCAACCTGGTACTGAAGATAGCATGATCTTTCCAATGGCATGCAAAAGTTCACTGTACATCCAGGAATAACAAAGTTGAAAATCAGGGGTTTCAACATAGCTGTCTCAAAATTCGGAAAGTGACATTCCAAAATTGAGGTGACCAGTGTTTAGTGTAGTTTTGTAGTCGAGTGCTGCATCTGTACGGCCCCGACTCTCAGCCCAACGAAACACACGAGGTGCTGCAGTAATTCCTCAGGAGGTTAGGCTAGGAACCTGGCTGCTAAGGTAAGGGATTTGTCATGTATTTTCTTAAAGTTTCTGATTGTTTTCTTTTCATCAAACTCATAAGATCTGATCTTGAATAGTCACAATACTGTCAAGGGTATCAAAGCAAGATGTTTAAATATTAAGAAACAGCCATAGTTATGTATAGCAGTGCAAGATAGAACTTGCAAATATTGTACATTAACTCAAGTACCAAGAAAAATTTACTAGCTTGTCTTGTAAGTCCAACTTCTTGAATTTTTCTTTGTGATGATTTCCAGGCACTGTGACAATGCTTCTTGTGGTGGAAATCACAGACTGAGTTTAAATGGCTTCATAATGTATTCTACCAACACAGATGAACTTTCATTTCAAAAGTTTCAAGATAAAATTTTTCTATGTAATGATTCCCAGGCACTGTCGATGCTTCTGTCTCCAAGAGCCCCTCCCAGACCGCGCTCATCCAAAGACTCGTCCACCAGCGAAGCTCCCGAGCTGGACAAGGAGACGGCAGCTGTGGAGGAGGAGGATGCGGTAACCATGGTGACGGAGGATGGGTCGGGGACGTGTCCTCCGGAGCTGAAGGGTTTCCATTGGCTGCTGGTGGAGCTGCCCAAACTGCCACATTTTGGCATCGTCCTGGCAACAACGGTGTACGCACTGCGACAGGTCAGTCTGGTCAACTTCTTAATCCCTCTTGAATGACCCTGTTAAGGCTTGTCACATGGATTCTCTAAAGTGTGATGTCAACACTGGGTCAAAGGTATCTGGTAGACGATGTCGGCCCCATCATGGTTAAGTGAAGGGTGATGGGCCCTGATGTAAATAGCCTCCTTCACCCCTACCAGATATCAGATACCTTTGACCCAGTGTTGACGTCACACTTCAAAGAAGCCATGTCAAAAGCCTCACTGCACGATGGTCCGGTTGCTAGCCTTTTGTTCGCGTTGCTAAGGCCGAGTGCGCCTCCCACTCACCGCGGGGTGCCTCCCGCTCGCCTGTACCCAGGCACTTACACAAGCAAACACTACAAATATCTCTCAAAATAACGCATGATCGGAATATCATGTCGAGAAACAACAGTAAGGATTGAAAAGAAGACAGGTTCACTTTGTAAATAAGAAGAAGTAAAAACGTGACAGCAAATTACAGCGTTCGAAAAATCCTTCTTACGCCAGTGTTTAGTTCCGGCAACGTGTATCAATCGAACTTTGAACCTTGTGACCTTTCTAATAAGGATTTTTTTCCAATTTACGCGCTAAACATTAGTTGAGGTCCTAATCTATAATCTCACCAATAATTTTTTATTCTATGGTATTAAACTCGATGTCTGCGAAATCTAAGATCATTTTCGTAAATTTTGGGGTAGATTTCGGCCTAAATTAGGGTATAATTCCCGTGAGCCTCCATAGAACAACAAGAACGCGTCATCAAGATGGCGGCGGGACTGTGCCCTTTCGATTTTTGGTGTTTTCGTAAAAAAATCCTTATTAGATCAAAAGTTATGGGTCAAAATATTACATGTACCCTTTACTCGGAGATTTCACGTGGAAGGAAGACTTTGTTTTCAAGCTATAATCAGCTACGGCGGCGTCCCTCAAAGACACTGATTATCGGGCGTCATTGTTTCGGGGTGCAGTTACATGCAAATCCTGGCCGGACCGCTTTTGTTTTCCAAGCTGGCGCGGCAGTTTTAAAAGTGAGAATTGACCAAAAATCTGTTGCAACGAGAAGGTTGTGAGTTTTGGGCGGTCTAAAAATCTTTACGTCGTACTGAAGGGATTGAAACGATGTTGCTAGTATCGTGGTTTAGAAATTACTAGTATCGTGGTTGGGGAAAAATTATGGGCAAGCTAACGGCACTAGATTTTAGCGATGTGAACACGGCTGATGCATTATTTAAAAAAACCATAGACGATAAACAAGGACAAAAACAACAGCAGCATTAAAATATACATGCAAGCAACAAGAAAATGTCGACAGTTTACGGGCAACATCAAATGTAAATCCAAAATAAATTGGGACTTCATGGGCAAAAAGTCCGTAATAGTGTCACGCACCGCGCGCCGTCGCCAGCAAGCTACCCTGGATGCCAAACTAGTATCGGGCCGTTAGCCTTTTTCCTTCGGCAGCCGAGAGCCCTTCGCCCGCCTGCCTAAATTACCGCTACGGGGGATTGAGCCCGATGGCCAGCCAAACTCCCCCGGGCTAGACTTCCCCGTAGCGGTAATTTACACCAGCGGGCGAAGGGCTTTTGCGGCCGGACAGCGAGTTTGGATCCAGGGTACCAGCAAGCCGCTGCATGCACGCCAAGTTTTTCAATTTTGGGGCGCCCGTGGACCAGCTTACAGCCAAGCCCGGCGTCATCGCCCGCCCTTGGATAGGGGTAAATACCATCCAACGCAATCAAGAAAGACATACAGACACCATAGCCTTTGATTCTAACGTTTGATCGTATTTTTGGCGCAAATGTTGACTCGAATGCTTTCAAAATTGTGGCGGCATTTTGTTCCTTTCTTTGACTATGCCTGCAAATTATTTGTTTCCGAATTTCCGTTCCGTCTTACAGCCGTAGCACACTAACGCTTTACATTTTGAAGTACACATGCCACTAAACTTTCGACTGAACCTTTACCCCGGAATATAACAAATTTATGTCGCATTTCTCGTAGCCGTAAGTCGTTTGTAAAGCTGTAAGTGTAACTTCATGAGTATGTGTTTCCGGGCGGCCATTTTGTTTCTTTTCTGGAAGCTTGGATGACGCTGGCTTTAGTAAGTCTCATTTTTTCGATATTGTCTCCTAGTTGCACAAGATGAACGCCTTGCTAGTGTCTGTAGATTTATAGATATCTTCTAAGCCGTAATTATGAGCTAATATTCATAAAAGCCATAGTGTAAACAAGCCGTGAAAGTTCAAAGCGTAGAAGTGACGCCATTGCTTCATGCTTTTTCCTGCTTGCGGTATGATTATGCACGGCATTTGTACAAAAAACAAATACTTTTTGTACAATAAATTTTTATTTTTTGATAAACACCAGTGTATTGTTTGTTACTGTACGAATTACATGTACGTTGTGTTCAAGTTGTAGTCAAGAACTTGTGAGGCGTGATTTGCGATCGTAACGTAATCGATCGTAACGAGCTTGTATAGTCCAGCAAGATTCGGGGAGGGGATGGAAAGATCAAACACTTGCGGTGAAATCTTTAATAGCGATGGAATAGTGACTGCTTAAGTCCTAAAATAAACTGACATTTAACAAATCAGGAATTACAGTAACCCTAGAGGTAAAATTGAAGACACAGATGAAGGCCGAGGCATTGTTAAAGCGAAGAACAATAGGGGCGGAGACGAGGCACGCATATCAAAAGACAAGCTCGCGGGAAAATCTTGCTGGGCGAGGAGCGATCAAAACATTTCTTGTCCCCGCCTGCAAACCTGCGAACCAATCAGCTACTGTTGTCAATGGCTAAATGAATGATTGACAGTGAATATTCATGAGCAGCGTGTTAGGAAAAATTTGACCCGATTTGACCATCGTGCTGGGTCAGTCTACTGATGAAGACCAGAGTGACTGGTCGAAAGCTCTAGGGGAGAGAACATTTTGTGTTGGATCTAAAGTTTTAACTCTAAACATGTAACTACCAACACAGATGAACTAGTCTTTCATTATAGTGAGTTTTGTGTCTGTTAAATTTGCTAACATTCCCCCCCCCCCCTATTTCCCCAGGCATGTCAGACGGAGACAGACCCCATGGCTGTGAGTGCCTACATGCTGTTCCTATCCCAGCATGCACCTCCTGTGGTCAGCGACATGGCCGACTTGGCACTGGTAAGTTCCGACATTCTTCTCTCGCAGGGTGACAGATTTTATTAAGTAGGCTCCAACACCACTACCAGTGGACTAGCCCCCTGCTGTAGTGACTTCTGTGTTTGGCCCAGGGCTAATGAACGGAGATGGGCGCCGCCCTATGCGAGCGTCACTTTTAACTTAACTTTGATTTAAAAATCTGAGAGAGAAAGACAAGAGAGAAGAGAGGGAGAAAGAGAGAGAGAGAGATAGAATTTTTTATTTACATGTATGCTAAGTGTGGATCCAAACAATGAACTCATTCTGCTTGATTTCTGCCAGGATCCATGTCTTTTTTACCTCCATGAAAAATGGAGGTATTGTTTTTGGCGTGTCTGTTTGTGTGTTTCTGCAACTTTGTGGTCAGCATAACTTCAGAACGCCTTTATGGATTGTGATGACATTTGGTCTGTTGGTAAGTCTTGTTGTGTTTGTGTTGCTTTTGCAATAAAAAAAAAAAGAAATGTTAAAAGAATTAGAAAGACAGGAAATTTTACTGACCAACCTGCCCCCCC